AGGGAGTTCTGGATCCTCGGGATAAGCTGCTTCGTCTCCCGCTTCTGGGTCGGGTATGAAATTTGGCCCTACCCTTTCTGCTTCGTTGGTGTTGACTGTTGCAGGTGTTACGTAACCGTTGTCGGCGAAATGGTAGAAGACTTCGGCGTTGTTACTGTCGCGAGGATTGTCTTCATCCATGGGCACGTCGACGGAGCAGTACGGGAGAGGTCCGGCTTCCTCCGATGCGTTGTCGACGTTCTGTTCATCCCAGTCTGCTTCGTCCGCTACTGAGGCGAAGGCTCGGTCACCACGAAAGCCACCGGTGAGGTCCCGATTCTTGTGCAAGTTGGCGAGGTACGTCTGAAGGGTGAGTCGTTCGTAGAAGATCACATCACGTGCTGCTACTGTTTCTTTTATGTGGACGTTGAAGATTCTCCACGCGTTGTAATTTTTCTCGATGCCGAGGTGTAGTCCCCACTGTGCCCGTTGCGAAAATCTTCCCGCTCGTGCTTCTGGGGGTCGGTACTGTACCATGCACCCGAAAAAATCGTAACATTTTTGTGCTGCCCTGCTTCCCTGTCCACAGCAGATGCGGTGATGCGTTGTTCAGGAGTGACGACGACAACAGCAAATTGTGCAGCATGACAGCATGGTCCATTGCTGCTGGCCACTGGTGGTTGGGTAGCCGCATGCCACGTAACAGTTTGCGCATGCTGTTCTGCAGAGTCCTGTTCATTCTTTCTGCAACACCTTGCTGCTAATGTGCGTAGGGAAGGGAGAGGAGTTGCTTGATCCCCCTTTCCGCCAGGTACTGCTTGAAGCGCTGAGAGGTGTACTCGCCACCTCCGTCTGACTGGAAGCTTTTCAGCTGCGTTCCTGATTTTCTCTCTGCTATCGGTAGCCAAGCGGCGAACGCTGCGAGTGCCATGTCGCGGCTGGGTAGGTTGGGATGCCAGACGTATCGAGTGGCGGCGTCGATGAAGGTAATCGTGTAATTATAGGTCACTTGACCTGGTTCTCGATTGTAGAGGATATCGCTGTAGACCTTTTCGAGTGGTGCGTATGCAGGTGCGCTCGGGTTGTGGTGAGAAGAAAATGATCGATGTGGTAAGTCTGCTTCGGGGCAGATGAGGCAAGTTCCTCGTGCCCGTTGAAGTTCTCTGCCGTCGAGTAGTAGGAGCGAGTCTTTGTCTAACACTCCTGCTCGTATCGTATTGTTTAATACCGTGTTGCTTGGATGTCCTGTGCGTGCGTGCCAGATTTCTTCGGAGGCGCGGTGTCCGGGTGATCGTTGATATGCGTCGGAGTTGGAGTAAAAACTAGCGACGAAGTTGGCGCTTCGGTGGACTTCTCGTTGAGTCGGGTGCAGCTGTTGTGCGGGTGTTGGTGGTTCTTCGTCGACGATGACTGGTGTTGTTGTTCCTGTTGCTGCCGATGTTGTTGCTGCTGCCGATGTTGTTTCTGCTGCTGCCGATGTTGTCTCTGCTGCTGCCAATGTTGTCTCTGCTGCTGTTGGTTGTTGAATTGTTGCTAATGATCATGTTCGCTCTGCTTCAGGGATGGTGTGTGAGTACCAGAAGCCTCCTGGGCTGAAGTCGGGATCGAGGTCCGGAGGGTGTGTCCAGTCGGTAAAGTTGACGATGGCGTCGCTGTCTGCAGTGCCTAGGTCGGGGACGAAGTCAAGGACGAAGACGTTGTTCTTCAACACTACTTTCCCGATGTATAGACCGCCTCTCCCATGGTATAGCTTGAACTCCTGGGTGGTGCTGTCGGCTTCCAAGTAAATCCCCTTCGCCATCAGTTGGCTAACACTCAGTAAGTTGTAACCGAGTCCTTCAGCGATGAGTACCTTTAACATGTGTAGTATGACGTTAGTTTCTCTTGATTGAAGTTGAACGACTCCTTGTCGTCTTGTGCGCAGGTTCTGGTTGTTGGCGACCGTAATGACTACTTCTCGCTGGAGTCGATGTTCGCGTTGTACGAAGCGCCCGGACGAGCACATGTGTTGCCCGCAGCAACTATCCAAGAACCAAGTGTCTTGGCCGGACGGTTCACTTTGAGCGATGGCGGCGTAAGTCGGATTCGGTTGGAGTGATTCGCGGCGAGGCGTCCTGTTGTCGAGCTCTTCTTCTGGTGAGTAGTGGGGTGGTGACTCTGTTGTGCAAGAATCGCTTATCTTCACCATGCAGTTGACTATGTTTCTTGCTCCTTGTGCAGGTTGTCCAGTTGAAGTCGTTGAAGCTTGGATCGTGGTTGTCGGACTTGCTTGCGTTGAAGCAACTTGGGAGCTTGAAGGCCGCAGTTGTCGCTGTGGTGTCGTCTGACGAGACGCGCAATGTGTCAGAACATTATAGCTTACTTATTTGTGTAGGCTATAGTGGGGTATCCCATAGGGGGTACAACCCAGCTAGGGTTTCCTATTTGTACTCACTTCGTTCATAGTTCATCCATTCACTCGTTCATTTCTTCTCATGGTATCAGAGCAGGTTCCCCTGTGGGAACTGTGCTTAGGGCCCACCACCTAAACTTTTTTTTTCTGCCCTAGCGCCTTAGTGCCCTAGCGCCCGCCCTAGCGCCCGCCCTTACGAGCGCCCTAGCGCCCACCTCGGCGCCTGCCCTTTCGAGCCGCCCGTTAGAGCCGCCCGTTAGCGCCGCCCTTGCGACCGCCCGTTTGCGCCGCCCGTTCGCGCCGCTCGTTAGAGCCGCCCGTGCGGCCGCCCGTTCGCGCCGCCCATTAGCGCCGCCTGTGCGGCCCGTTAGCGCCGCCTGTGCGGCCGCCCGTTTGCGCCGCCCGTTAGCGCCGCCCGTTAGAGCCGCCCGTGCGGCCGCCCGTTCGCGCCGCCCGTTTGCGCCGCCCGTTAGCGCCGCCAGTAGCGCCGCCCATGCGGCCGCCCGTAGCGCCGCCCGTGAGCCGCCGCCCGTCGCGCCACCCGTTAGCGCCGCTCGTGACCGCCGCCCTTGCAGCCGCCCGTAGCGCCGCCCAACGCGCCGCCCGTCCCGCTGTCCAGACCGCCGCCCACGCGCCGCCCTGACGCCGCCCGACGAACAGCCCGTGCAGCTGCCCGTGTACCCGCCCGTGCACCCGCCCGTACACCCGCCCGTGCACTCGCTCGTGCGCCCGCCCGTGAGCCGCCCGTGCACCCGCCCGTGCACCAGCCCGTGTAGCCGCCCGTACACCCGCCCGTGCACTCGCCCGTGCGCCCGCCCGTGAGCCGCCCGTGCACCCGCCCGTGCACCAGCCCGTGTAGCCGCCCATGCACCCGCCCGTGCACCCGCCCGTGTATCAGACCGTGCAGCCGTCCGTGCGGCCGCCCGTGCACCCGCCCGTGTTCCAGCTCGTGCACCCGCCCGTCCGCCTACCCGTGCAGCTACCCGTGCAGCAGCCCGTGAGCCGCCCGCTAGCCGCCCACGAGCCACACCGGCCGCCCGTGCAGCCGCCCGAGCACCGCCCGTGCCGCCGCCCGAGCCACCTCAGCCGCCCGCGCCGCCCGAGCCGCCCGAGCCGCCCGAGCCGCCCGAGCCGCCCGAGTCGCCCGAGCCGCCCGAGTCGCCTGAGCCACCCGAGCTGCCCGAGCCGCCAGAGGAGCTGCACTCCTGCTCCTGTCGGACTACTGCTGCTCCTGGGCTGTGTTCCTGTGCCGCTGACCTACCCGACTCTTCCTGCCCGGTGAGCCTGTCAGCTGCTGTCATGGCCACCCCCGCTGTCCTAGCTTTTGACGCTGAGGGTAGAGCCATTGACTTTGCTGTCTGGATTGAAGACCTGCAGCTGTACTTACTGTGTGATGCGGTCGATGAGGTCTCTCTCTTTGACTTTGTCTCTGGCACTGTCCCTGCCCCTCCTGCTGATGCTGACCCTGCCGTTCGCTCCAAGTGGGCGACCCGCGATGCTGCTGCACGTCTTGCTGTGCGTCGTCACCTCCCTTCCTCTGAGCGTGCCCACTTTAGTCAGTGCAAGACCGCTCAGGCCTTGTACGACACTGTAGTTGCACGCTACTCCTCCCCTTCCTCCGCTACGCTGAGCCGCCTCATGCTACCTTTTCTCTTCCCTGACCTCGCTGCCTTTCCCACTGTCGCTGACCTCGTTACCCACCTCCGCGCTAGTGACGCTCGCTACCGCGCTGCCCTTCCTGCTGAGTTCCGCGCCGCCAACCCTCCTCCCATGTACATCACTCTCTACTTTCTCGTCACCCGTCTCCCTGAGTCCCTTCGTGTCGTTAGGGACCAGTTTCTCTCTGTCTGTCCCACTACCCTCACTGTCGACCTCCTTGAGGAGTCCCTACTTGCGGCTGAGAAGAGCATAGTCGCTGTAGGGGCCTCTCGGGGTGACCCTCGCACCCCCATCTTTGAGGGGTGTTCTCCTTCCCCCCTGCTGCCCTCTGTCGCCTCTACCGCTGCGGCCGACCTCGCTGGTTTTGAGTCGGTCGGTGCGGCGTCTGCCCCCAGCGGTAGACGCCGCTCTGGCAAGGGCAAGGGGGGCAAGGGAGCGGGTGGAGCTAGAGGAGGCAGTGGCGGAGGAGGTGGGGGTGGCGGGGGGAGGTACTGGTGGAGGCGGTGGAGGCGGAGGTGGCGGCGGAGGCGGTAGCGGAGGAGGCGGGGGCGAGGGTACCGGTGGGGGCGGTGGCGGTGGGGACGGGGGTGGCGGTGGCGGCGGGAGTGGCGGTGGCAGCGGGGGTCGGAGTGGCTCGTCCCAGCGGAGCGGCTCTGGGGGTGGTCAGCGCCAGCAGCAGCAGCAGCAGCAGCAGCGCTCTCGCACCGTCCCCGCCCCTCAGCAGCTCCGTGAGTGGTACTTGCAGCGTCAGCGTGGTGGTGCGTTTGGTCCCTGCCCCTACGTTCTTCGCACCGGCGACCGTGCGGGGGAGAGGTGTGGAGGCACCCACACAGCTCGCCGCTGCTTTGGCCGCCTGACCGACGCCTGGCGTCAGCAGTTTCCGGAGGCCGCTGAGATCCCCCGCTGGGGGGAACTGTCTAGGGCTGGTGTCGCAATTTATGATCTTGACTTTGATGCTATCCTTTCTGCTATGTATGCTGTGACTGGTAGTGATGAGGATGACTGTTACCGGTGTTTCCCGCCCGACCCGGGCATTGGTACTGCTGCGTCAGGTGCTAGTGAGGCTGCTGCTCTAGGTGCCAGTGCGTCTGTGCTCTCAGGTACTGGTGAGTCTGCCCTCTCAGGTACTGTGTCGGCTTCGGCCTCTCACACCTTCACCCTTGACTCTGGAGCGTCTCGCTCCTTCTTTCGGGACCGCACCACTCTCACGCCGCTGAGTCGGCCGGTTGCGGTGTCCCTGGCTGACCCCTCTGGGGGGCCTGTCCTATCTCGCTTCTCCACGGTCCTTCCGTGTCCGGCGGCCCCCTCTGGCACCCTGTCTGGTCTATACCTCCCCTCGTTCTCGACGAGCCTGGTGAGTGGTGCTGACCTACAGGATGCGGGTGTCCACCAGTTCACTCCTGCTCGTCAGCGAGTGACTCACTGCACGGAGGCTACCACGGGACGCCACCTGGCTACGTTTACACGTCGGCCAGGGTCGAGCCTGTACACACTGACCACTGCTTCTCCCCCAGGTGCTGAGTCTGGTAGGGTCCCTTCGTCTGGTCAGGTGTTTGCCGCGGCGTCCAGGTCTGGTCCTGAGTCTGCCCCCTGTTCGTGTCGCCGTCTGTCTCACGAGACGCTCCTCTGGCACCACCGCCTTGGCCACCCCTCTCTGCTTCGGCTCAAAGGTATGGCCTCCCGTCTTCTTGTGTCTGGTCTTCCCCGGTCCCTCCCTCCCCTTCCTCAGGGCCCTGGCCCTGTCTGTGTCCCCTGTGTCGAGGGGCGCCAGCGTGCTGCCCCTCACTCCTCCCAGTTTCCTCCGACAGAGGCCCCGTTGCAGACGCTTCACATGGACGTGTGGGGCCCAGCCCGCATCCGTGGACAGGGTCAGGAGCGCTACTTCCTGCTCGTTGTTGACGACTACTCGCGTTACACCACAGTCTTCCCCTTGCGCAGCAAGGGTGAGGTTACTGAGGTGCTGATCGACTGGATCCGCGCAGCTCGTCTTCAGCTCAGGCAGAGCTTTGGCTCCGACTTTCCTGTGTTGCGTCTGCACTCGGACAGAGGCGGAGAGTTCTCCTCTGGCCTTCTGCGTGCCTACTGTCGGGCGCGAGGCATCCGCCAGTCCTTCACGCTTCCGGACTCTCTGCAGCAAAATGGGATTGCTGAGCGCCGCATTGGCATGGTCATGGACGTCGCTCGTACGTCTATGATGCATGCGGCTGCCCCCCATTTTCTGTGGCCGTTTGCGGTCAGGTACGCCGCGCATCAAATCAACCTTCACCCCCGGGTCTCTCGGCCCGCGATGTCCCCAGTCTTGATGTGGACGGGGAAGGTTGGCGATGCGTCGGCGTTCCGGGTCTGGGGATCTCGGGCGTTTGTCCACGACTTGTCTGCGGACAAGCTGTCTCCTCGCGCCGCTCCCTGCGTCTTCCTGGGGTTCCCCCCCGACGCCCCTGGGTGGCAGTTCTACCACCCCACCTCTCGACGTGTTCTGTCCTCCCAGGACGTCACGTTCGACGAGTCGGTACCCTACTACCGCCTCTTCCCCTACCGCACTCCGTCCCTCCCCCCGCCCCCGCTCTTCTTGGTCCCAGGTCCCCCCCCGGTAGACCCCCTCCCCCCTCAGGGTCCTGCCCCTTCAGGTGTGTCCCAGGTAGACGCGGTCGAGCCGGTCGAGGTCACTGGTGACTCTGGTGCTGCTGCGGGAGCTGAGCCTGGGGGTGCTGGTACTGGAGGCGCTACGCTTGGGGGTACTGAGTCTGGGGGTGCTGAGCCTGGGGGTGCTGAGCCTGGGGGTGCTGAGTCTGGGGGTGCTGAGCCTGGGGGTGCTGAGCCTGGGGGTGCTGAGCCTGGGGGTGCTGAGCCTGGGGGTGCTGAGTCTGGGGGTGCCGAGCTTGGGGGTGCTGAGCCTGGGGGTGCTGAGACTGGAGGTGCTTCGTCTCGCCGAGAGCCACTCTCCCCGCAGGAGCTGCGTGAGTGGTTTGCCCGGCGCTGGAGGCGTACTGCTGGTGCTGGAGGTTCTTCGGCTACTGAGGGTGCTGCTGCCGGGCGTCCCGGAGGTGCTCGTGTTGCAGGTACTGGAGCTGCTGGGTCTGAGGGTTCTCCTGGAGCTGGTGCTGCTGAGGGTGTTGGCGCTGAGACTGCCGCTGGCGGTCCGACTTGCCGTGCTCCTGGTGGTGCTGCTGGAGGTTCTGGAGCTACTGGAGGTGCTGCTGGAGGTGCTGCTGGAGCGGGTACTCCTGCTGGGGGTACTGGTGCTGTCCCTGCTGTTTCTGGCGTCGCCGCGCGGCCCCGACCGTACTTCGTTCCGCTCCTGCAGCAGGTTCTTGGTCTTCCACCTTCTCCTGGTCCTCCTCCTCCTCCCTTAGAGGGTCCACAGCCTGTCCAGTCACAGCCACAGCTACAGCCTGCCTCCCCTTTGCCTGCTCCTTCTCCCTACACTGGTCCGACTGGAGGTCTTACTGAGCGTCGTGAGCCTGCGTCTCGTCCTGCGTCGCCTGTTCGTACTGAGCGCGCTAGTGGTCGCGGGTCGCGTCAGCGTCCTCCTCCTGTTCCTGGCACGCACCGGATGTCACTGCGTCCGTCCACTGCTCCTCTGCGTGCCCCTTTGCCTTCTCCTCCTGAGTCCTCTCTTCCTGCTCTTGCCGACCCGGAGTCGGACTCTCTTCGTGCTGCCAGTCCTACTGTCACGCGTCTCCTTGCTACTGCTGTCACTGACCCTTCCTTCGAGTCGTCTGCTGCGTCTGCCCTTGTCTCTGAGCTTGTCGACTTTGCTGCGCGCTGTCGTCTAGACTACACTGCCAGTCTTGTCGCTGAGTCTGAGTCTGCCTGTCCTCCGTCCGTCGGGGGTGAGTGTGCCCTCGGCACGGATGTCCTTGAGGACAGGCAGGAGGAGTTCCAGTGTCTGGCTACCGCTTCACCTCATCTCGCGTCTGTACTGCTAGCCCCTGAGGGAGACCCGGATGCACCAGACATCCCGACTCCGCGCTCTTACGCGGAGGCGATAGAGGGTCCCTACTCCTCTTAGTGGCAGGCAGCTATGGATGCAGAGATGGCTTCCTGGAAGTCCACAGGCACCTACGTCGACGCTGTTCCCCCTCCTGAGGCGAACATCGTCAGTGGCATGTGGATTTTCAGGGTGAAGCGGCCGCCGGGTTCTCCGCCTGTCTTCAAGGCGCGTTACGTGGCTCGTGGCTTCAGTCAGCGGCAGGGGGTTGACTACTTTCAGACCTTCTCCCCCACCCCGAAGATGACCACTCTTCGGGTTCTGCTGCACGTTGCTGCTCACCGTGACTACGAGCTGCACTCTCTCGACTTCAGCACAGCTTTCTTGCAGGGCAGCCTGCACGAGGAGATCTGGCTGCGTCGCCCACCTGGCTTCACTGGGTCTTTCCCTCCTGGTACCCAGTGGAGTCTCCGGCGTCCAGTCTACGGTCTCCGCCAGGCGCCACGTGAGTGGCACGACACACTGAGGACTACGCTCGCGGCACTTGGGTTTGCTCCTTCTACTGCCAACCCGTCGCTGTTTCTGCGCACCGACACCTCTCTGCCGCCGTTCTACATCCTCGTGTACGTCGACGACTTGGTCTTTGCCACAGGTGACACTGCTGGACTCGTCTACGTGAAGTCTGAGCTGCAAAAGAGACACACGTGCACTGACCTGGGTGAACTGCGTAGCTACCTTGGCTTGCAGATCACCCGGGACAGAGTGCGCCGCACCATTACCCTGACTCAGTCACACATGGTGCAGCAGGTCCTTCAGCGCTTCGGCTTCACGTACTCCTCGCCTCAGGCCACTCCTCTGCCTACTCGCCACTCGCTCTCAGCTCTGCCTTCGGATGAGTCCGTAGAGTCGAGTGGCCCGTTTGCAGAGCTTGTTGGCTGCCTCATGTACCTGATGACCTGCACACGTCCTGACCTTGCATACCCTCTTAGCATTCTCGCACGCTATGTTGCTCCTGGGAGACACCGACCAGAGCACATGGCTGCAGCGAAGAGGGTGTTGCGCTACTTGTGCAGTACGTCGGGCATGGGGCTAGTGCTTGGAGGGCGCAGTCCAGTGGTCCTCACTGGGCACGCAGACGCTTCTTGGGCTGACGACCAGGCTACTCAGCGGTCGTCACAGGGTTACACCTTCAGCCTTGGTTCCGGCTCTGTCTCGTGGCGGGCTACCCGCTCGTCTTCTGTTCTCGGCTCGAGTTGTGAGGCTGAGATCTACGCTGGGGCTATGGCTGCACAGGAGTTACGCTGGCTCACCTACCTGCTGACCGACCTTGGAGAGCAGCCTCGTTCTCCTCCAGTCCTGTACGTAGACAACAAGGCCATGCTGGCCTTGTGTCGAGAGCAGCGACTGAAGCACAGAACGAAGCACATTGCCCTCCGCTACTTTCTTGCTCGTGAGCTGCAGCAGCGTGGACAGTTGCGACTTGCGTACGTGGCCTCTGAGGCCAACACTGCTGATGTCTTCACTAAGGCACTTGCGCCTTGTGATCATCAGCGTTGTTGCACGCAGTTGGGTCTTGTGCCTGTCTTGCCTCACTTGCTCACTTCTTGACCTTGCTTGTACCTTCACCTATATATACTCTTGCTCTTGTTTGCTTGACTCTTGTATATCTCTATATATGATCTTGCATGTGAACTGGCCTTCTGGCCTTTGAACTTGTGCTCGGAATGTGTGGTGACTTTGTGATCCACCCTGAGCTTTGCTTTGTTTTGCTTGACTGGTCTTGTGACCCCTTGTTCTCCCCCACTTTGCCTATGGGGGTGTGTCAGAACATTATAGCTTACTTATTTGTGTAGGCTATAGTGGGGTATCCCATAGGGGGTACAACCCAGCTAGGGTTTCCTATTTGTACTCACTTCGTTCATAGTTCATCCATTCACTCGTTCATTTCTTCTCACAATGCGTGCGAGGATGGCCCGAGGTTTTGCAGATGTGGCAGAACGGAGGTACCGTTTTCACTTGCTGTTGTCGATTGTTGTTGCCGTTGTGTCGTCGCTGAATGTGAAAAGCAAATTCTGGTGCTAAAGCTTTCTTCTTGTGTCTTTCTTCTTGCAGGTCCATGTCTTGCTGCTCAGCATGAATTTCGGCGCAGAGTGCCGCTTCGGAGATCCTCCCGTGTGCTCGTAATATGGCGCGAGTGGAGCGCCAGTGGGGGCCGAGACCGCCGATGACCACCGTGACAAAGGCGTCTTCTGAAATTGACCCGTCGCATCGAAGAAGCTTGTCGCGCAGTTCGCGGCAGCGGCTGATATAAGCCATGCCTTTCTCACCTGGTTTCATTTCAATCGTTGTCATCTGCGTCATTAACCTGCTTTGGTTTACGCTGTCTGTTGCTTGATACAGATTCTTCAGGTGGTTGTACGCGAGCTCCGCGGAGTTGCCGTAGCCTCGGTAAGTCCTGATGTTCTGCTGCTGGGTTGGGGTGATGTTCCTCAGCAGAATCGTGTACGCCATCATTGACTGATATGTATATTGCTGCTTCTCATATTGTGTCCCGTTTGTTGGGTATGGCAGGGACCCGTCGAAGAAGCCGAGAATCTGTGCTCCTTCTATCATCAGTTCAAACTCTAACGACCAGGTGAAGAAATCTTTGCCGTCGAAAGGCTTTGTCGTTTGCAGTTTTAGGACATGCGCGAATTGCGATTGGACTTGTAACGCATCCAATGTCCTTTCTTGTCCTGATGCAGGTTGCGGTTGCGGCATGAAGCTGACGGAGCCACGTTGAGGCTCGTACGGCGCAAAGGTAGGCTGCTGTTGTTGTTGTTGAATCCCGCGTGCGTAGGATGAGCCGTCGAGACTCATAGGAGTCACGTTGTTGTTGTTGCTGTTGTTTGACTGCGCAGGTACTCCTTGCTGGTGCTGCTCATAGAAGGACATGAAGGAGAAAAACTTCTCCATCATGCTTGGATCGAAGCCTGCTGGCGTTTCGGTGGACCCAGCTGCTGGTCTCGTGGTAGTCCCTTCCTCTGTCTGTAGGCCAGAGACAGGTGGTGGGGTAGGAGTAGTACCGGGAGAGCCGTTGGAGGAGCTCCTCTCCTTTCTGGTTGACATGTCTTCTTTGTTGTAAGGCTTGCTGAATAATAATTTTAACTCTAACTGCTCTTATACCATGTTGGGCTGAGAAGCCCTAAGGATCTTTGTAGAGTTAAAGACTAAGTAGGATTGTAATAGCGGAAGCGTTGAAGTAAAGGATTTGAACCACCTTGTGTCAGACTTTATATTATTTATATTTGTAACTGCCTGTAGTTGTAGTTAGTGTAGTTATTGCAAATTTTGTTAGGTGGTGCACCCTTTTGTTTCCTATGCTATATGTTCCTTGAACCTATAGTGAAACTCACTTTTCACCTTCACAACTTTCTCGACTCTCCCCCCTTGGGCCCAACTCACTCGATACCTAAGTTGGGCCTAGGCTCCTAAGCCTAGGCCCTTACGTTCTAGTTTCTTTAACATGGTATCAGAGCAGTTTCGTCCTGGCCTGTGGGCCCGCCTAATGCTTCCGCTGCTGGATTTCTGGTCACGCGCCTCGGGCGCGTGACGTTTTTCTTTTCTACCCGTCGCGGACCCGCCTTTGGCGCCTGCGACGGCGCCCTTAGCCGTCGCGGACCCGCCTCTGGCGCCTGCGACGGCGCTCTTAGCCGTCGCGGACCCGCCTCTGGCGCCTGCGACGGCGCTCTTAGGCGTCGCGGACCCGCCTTTGGCGCCCGTGGTGGTGCTCCAAACCGTCGCGGACCCGCCTTTGGCGCCTGCGGCGGTGCACTAAGCCGTCGCGGACCCGCCTTAGGCGCCTGCGGCGGTGCACTGAGCTGTCACGGTCTCGCCTCTGGCACGCGACAGTGCCCTGCTCGTCGTGCGCCCCGAGGCACACGACGGTGCACTTACCTTCAACTTACCCGTCGTGCGCCCCGTGGCAAGCGACGGGCCTTTCCGCACCTGCTCAAACTACAGCCGCCCCTTACCTCCCTGCCTCGACACATGGTAGCCGCTCTGCGGCTTTCTACCCGCCCACCCCCTTCTCCTTTGTTTCCCTGCAGCCGTGGGGGGGAGGGTATGGGGGTGGCGGGTGTTGGAGCTTTGGGTCGTTTCCTTCCCTTCCCCTCCTCCTCCTTTTGTTCCCACTGCTGCAGCTGCCGCTGGGGGGGAGGGTGTGAGGGTGTGGGGGAGAAGGGGGATTGGCACCGGGGTGGCGGGTGTGAGGCAACCAGCAGCCGTCCCCCCACCTCTCCTCTCTCCCCCCCTTCTCTGCTGCTCCTGCAGCAGTGTGGGGGAGGGGAGGGAGGAGGGTGAGGTGATGGAGGGGGTGACCAGTTAGTGTCTGCCCGCCTGCAGTACCTGCTGTTGCTTGGTTATTATCTTGCTTGTGTTGCTTGTGTACCCCTGCAAGTTGTGTTCAGCACAAACTTCTGCTGCAGGCAGTTATGGGGGAGTGTCAGACTTTATATTATTTATATTTGTAACTGCCTGTAGCTGTAGTTAGTGTAGTTATTGCAAATTTTGTTAGGTGGTGCACCCTTTTGTTTCCTATGCTATATGTTCCTTGAACCTATAGTGAAACTCACTTTTCACCTTCACAACTTTCTCGACTCTCCCCCCTTGGGCCCAACTCACTCGATACCTAAGTTGGGCCTAGGCTCCTAAGCCTAGGCCCTTACGTTCTAGTTTCTTTAACACCTTGCGCTAGTATGTGAGGGCAAAGTAAGTTGATTAAAACAAGCAAATACAAGGCTTTATATAAGAGTACAAGGAATACGAATAGATATAATAACTGTATTGCTGTTGCGATTCGATACAGTGCGACTCGGGCAACTGCTCAATGTCGAGTCAGTTGTATGTCCTTGTTGTCGCGCTGTATTGGTCAAGTCAAAGGTCGCTGACCTTAGACCTTCGCGTAACCTCCAGGCGGTTACCCCAACCTCCGAGGGTTGACTCGCGATGCTTCGATTCGGAGTGCTTCGCTTTTGTATCCAGATTTTCGACACGACAGAGGCGCTTAAGATTTATTGTTCCCAACACCATTGACGTTATCGGGTCACATGATGGTTACTTGTGGCATATTTTCCCTTTCCTTACAGCAACTCATAACACCATTTTTCAAGTAGTAACACTCGACCGTAAGTGCAAGTAATGTTACGGCGAGTCTTTCGAGGTTCTGGTCTTGCTTCGATGTTTCCGCCGCTTTGTTACTCACTTGGCAAGAATCCTGGTGACGTGGTCCACGGTTGATGTGACATTCGATGCAGTATGACATGGCTGTACGCTCATTGGATGGATAAGGAAGATGGTAACTCAGCTGAGACGTTTGTCGCCATCACTAGTTGTGAGGGTCCATCAGCGAGAGTGATCCCTTTTTCGCAGATTCAGCTTCGGGATTCATCGCCACCCTCGTGCGAATGGTTCGTTGCGCCGCCTTGACAGGCAGGCACTGCCTTTTCTTCAAGCTCAGTGCTGCATTGCGTCCTCCCCCACCACGCCTCGAGGAACTCCTCTCCTCTCATGTGCTTGCTTGCCCACTCAATCCCTCCTCTCACAATCCCTCATCCCCTCTTTCTAGCTCGCACCACAAACCCAAATGCTTCAACCTCCATTTCCACAGTATTATCCAGAACAAGAGCGCGAGCTTCATTCATGTTTCGTTCCTGTGCGGAGTTAGTACTCCCGTGCAAGCATGGCGTGGCTAGAGAAGCTGAATTCGAGGCTCGAGTCATTCTTAGAAGTTGACTTCGACAGCTCCCCATCCTTCCTATCCCAGGTTTCCTTTCACGCGGCCGAACTGTTCACTGGCTTCGATGCTTCTTTTAGTTGCCGTTCTCTTCCATTGAAACCTTATTTTCCCACTCAGTGTGCTTCCCTGCTTCCTGCCTCACCCGCCGTATCATTTCGTGACTATTTCTTCACTATTCCATTACCCCATCGTTCCATTGGATGCGAAACGTTGCACATGTGCTAATCCCTATCGTTATAAATCGCGCCTGTTACCTATCATGATTTCCCTACATTCATCTCGCTTCCCTTTCTCAAACGCTATCTATCCGTTTCATTATTTTCTCCTCACCTTCCTTGCCTGCTACCCTTTGCCCACTATCTTCCTTTGCTGGCGGTCGCCCGTGTGCCGCAGACGTCGCACATGGTGGAATCGTCCGTCGCTCAGGTGGGCAGCGGCGTGCGACAGCTGTACGGCGACTTGGTGCGTGACCTCTTCGTGCCCGCCTGGGACGACGACGACCTCTTCGCCCCTGCCGCCCCCGCCACCGCCGCTGCTGCCAAGACGGTTGCTGCTGCTGCTGCTGCTGGTGCGCCGACCCATGTCGCTTCTCACTCGAGTGCGCGCAAGCGCGCGTCGGCCTGCAGCGCGGCGGAGAGGGGCTCCAAAGTAGCGGGGAGGTCGGGGGGCGCGCGAGAGGCAGAAGTCGGCGGGCGTGCGACGGGACTTGGCACGGATGGTGGTGGAGCGAACCCTGGTGGTGCGTAACGTTGCTTTTTCCCCTACTCCTCTATGTCCCTTCAGCTGCCGTCCCTGCTCTCTCTCGCAGTGCTCAAACCTGCCTCGTTTCTTTCCCTCTCTGCCTCCAGTTCGTTCCCCCTCCGCCGCGCCACAACGCGCCTCTCCCGCGTCTGCCCAGCGCGGTACTCCGGGCGGGACTGCCCCGCCTGTCTCTGCTGCTTTGGCTGGAAAAAGGGGAACGGCGGTGCCTGCCGCCAGGGGGGCGAGTTCACCGGCCAGGGGGGGTTGCGACGAGGGCGAGAGTGCGGCCACAGTGGGGGGCGCGTCAGCAGCTGCTGCTAGTGGCGACGTGCGCATGGCGCGGCGAACAGGGAGGGGCGACGTGGCATCTGAGGGAGCGGTTAAAGCGCTGACCATGGCAGGAGGACGAGGCGGTTTGGCAGGAGTGGTGGAGGGTGAGAGAGAGCGGGGCGGGACAGAGGGCAGAGTGGCAGCAGTGCGAGGAAATCTCGGCACAGTAAGTGCGCCTGGTGGGACGAGACAGGGCGTGAGTGCGGCATGCATGGGACTGCAGGGATTGGCACAGGCTGGCGACGAGTGCGAGGCAGAGGAGGAGGAGGCGATGGGCGAGTGGCGGGAGATGGTGGGCGAGCTGGATGCGCTGCTGCCTGGCGACGCTGGGGAGGCCCAGGGGAGCAGCGTGGGGGAGGAGGTCCAGGGGAGCGGCGTGGGGGAGGAGGTCCAGGGGAGCAGCGTGGAGGAGGAGGCCCAGGTGAGCAGCGTGGGGGAGGAGGCCCAGGGGAGCAGCGTGGGGGAGGAGGCCCAGGGGAGCAGCGTGGGGGAGGAGGCCCAGGTGAGCAGCGTGGGGGGGGAGGGCTGGAGGAGTGGCACCAAGGGGAGCACTGGCCCTCATTGGCCCTCTGGTGGATCTGGCACTGCTGCGGGAATGGTGGCTGGGGTCGTGCAGGCTGGGCACGCTGCAGGGGATAATTGCAAGCAGGGAGGGAGCGGGGAAGGGGGAGAGGGCAGCAACGAGCACAGGGCAGGTGCAGAGGGAAGAGCAGGGGGGTGTGGTGGCAGGGCAAGTGGGTCGCGTGGAGTGGATGTGGTGGCGCAAGAGAGGGGTGAGGGAGGGCAGTGTGCAGGCGAAGGCGACGTGAACAAGGAAGGAGCTGTGGCACCAGCGTTGTGGTGCAATCCATGTGCGGCAGCCTTGGTGTGTGCTGCTCCACCTCTGGCTGTGCTGCGGTCGCCTTCCCCCCCGCCACAACCACCGCCACTGTTACAGGCACCGCCACCGCCACCACCACCGCCACAGCCGGCACGGGCACGGCTGGTGGGCGTCCAGCAGGTGGCAGCGGGCGCCGCCGCTGCCGCTGCCACAGAGATGGGCGATGGGGTTGGGGAAGGGGAGGGCGGAGGGGAGGTGGCGTGGAAGTGGGCTCCAGGAGGCGCAGCAGCAGTGCAAGGAGATGCAGCGGTGTTGCTGGCTAGCAGCAGCAGTGAGGCAGCAGGTGGTGGTGCGCCAAGAGGGTGCAGTGAGGCATTGCAGCGGCGTGACGAACCTCCGCGGAGTGAGGTACTGCCGGGGAGTGAGGCAAGAGAGCGAAGTGATGCGCTCAGTGAAGCTAAGGACATGGCAGTGGCTGGGAAAGGCATTACTTGCACTGTAGCTGGCATCAACGGCACCGACAGTGAAGCTGGGGCCTCCTGTGTAAGCACCACTGCAGCGACAGACAGCAATGAGCAGCAGTTCGAGACAGTGACTGGAGCAGCAGGAGAAGGCGGCAGCGAGGAGGATGAGGACGAGGCATGCATTCCAGACATCGATGAGGTGAGAGCAGACGAGGTGAGAGCAGGCGCGGAATGTGCATGCGAATGCTCTCATGAAGCATGCGAATGCAGTCATATGATGGCAGGAAAGCGGCCTAGTCTGAACCTGGACAACATATGATTGCCCTTGCTCTCAACTTTGAATTACTACTACCTAGCTTTGTTTCGTTAAGTTCATTTCTGAACTAGTCCTTCAGGTTTCTGTGTGCGTTCGACTGTATTGTGACTGCTTTGTGGCTGCACTGCACTGCAATGCACTGGATGTGCAGGTCATTGCGGAGTTGAGCAGCCACACCCTGCCTCCACTGCAGCAGATAGCGGCTGGCCCTAGCCCACTCGCGGCCACAGCAGCCTTCCAGCACACTCCCAATCAGCCACAAGGCGAGTTCACAGCACGCTGGTTAGACGTGGCCCCCCATAACTCCACCACACCATGTCTTCCTTCCATGGGACCTTTTCTTCCCTGTGAAAGGTTGCCTCAACTACCCAGGGCTCCTGCACACATCGATCTCCCAACTGCATCTCCAGCAGCCGTTGGTGACGTCGTCCCATGCGGGCTGGAAGGTCAAGCTCCTCTAGAGGAAGAATGGGACTGGGAGTTTGTATGAGCTTGGACAAAGCCCCTTGTAAATATATGCATCTCTGCAAGATGGCTCCTGCTTGCTGCATTCTAGCGCCATCACGTCCAGGAGTGATATAGTGTATCTTGAGACAGGCCTGTGCATCTTGATGCACAAATTAGGTATTTGTTTGTTGATACAGCACCTTAATGTGGTCTTTGTTTATGAGCATCCCCCCAAATTATGTGTAGAGGGCATTGTTTGAACACTCGGCAGAGCAGAGAGACTAAAACTCACCTTGTACCGTATTCCCCCGGACATACCACCCGCCGAAATAGAGCACCCCCCGGGTGGCTTGTGCGGGGGGGGTGCTATAGCGGACCTCGTTTCTACTATACCCCCCTTTTGGGGTGAATTTTCTATAGCACCCTCCTTTCATACAAAATTTCTAATCATAGCTGTTAGCGAGTACTGCAGAACATCGCGGAAATAACTTCCGCGATGAAATTTCATGGTAGTTTCGATGTAATCTACCGAAATCACCCCCCTCCCTCTTTTACGCTACTGCCACGCTGGAAGATTGTTTACTACCAAGTGGCCAAAAAGGTGCCACTTGGCAATTTCAAGGGGGGTGAAAAGGATCTCGCCAAAACCCACATTCTCGCTTCTAGCTGTGATGGTAATCCAACTTTGAAAACACCCAAGTTGTCTTTGCATCAAAATCCTTACACTAAAAATACCGTATAAAAAGACCCGGGTGCAATGTAGCTTTTTCCGATGACAAGACCCCCCCCCATTTTTTTGTGTAGTTATCATAGCACCCTAGGGTGGTATGTCCGGGGGAATACGGTACATACCAATCGGTTGTCTACGTGGATTCCATATGGAGTCATGTGGGTTTTCACACTTGAAGACATCCAGGTTCAATTCCTGCGCATACCGTATACGGGATCCCCTGTTTCTCCTTAGCATGTCAGACGAAAACATTCTTGCTATCAGGGAACTCATACTAGATATAGCAACTGTTCTGAAAAATCATATGAATATAGCAGCCATGTCTGAGCTCTCATATGAGCCATTATCTTCTGTCTGAGCATTGTATTTCTATACATATGAACAAGAAAGAGCGAGCCTGAAATCTAGACGAACATGCCAAATTCGTCTACTAACAAGAGCCCTGCAAGCAGTCACTTTCCGGGATAGGTTCATGTCAGAATCAACTAGCAGGAATGATTGAACTAGGAAAGAGTTGGGTACAAGTATGAAACCCTAAAAAGGGTTGTACCCCATATTGGCTACCCCACTACAACCTAAACATATATAGCATATATACAATTTGACACACCCCCATAGGCAAAGTGGGGGAGAGCAAGGGGTCACAAGACCAGTCAAGAGAAGCAAAGCAAGCTCAGGGTGGATCACAACGTCACCACACACACTGAGCACAAGCAAAGGGCCACAAGGCCTGTTCACATGCAGAGGTATATATGCAACAATAGCAACACAGTGATCTCTACCTAGCAGAACAAACATGCAAGTATATATATAGATCATGTCAAAAGTTAGAAGAAGAAAGAGGGTTGAACTAGCAAGAATGAGGATACAAATAGCAAACCCTAGAAGGGTTGTACTCGCTATAGAGCACCCCACTACAGGCTAGAACAATAAGATAATATTCTGACACACCCCCATAGCCAAAGTGGGGTGTAATCAGCAGAGCAGGCAAAGCAAAACAAGCTCAGGGTGGATCACAATGTCACCACACACTCTGAGCACAAGTTCAAGAAGAAATAGTTTAGAGTTCACAATTATAAGCAAAGCTAGTGGTAGTCACAACGGGCAAGTGAGGAGGAGGAGGGAGAGTGAGGGGAGAGGAGACAGGAGGCGACGGCTGAAGCTGCAGACACACGGGCAACAGGAGGCAGACTGGCACAGCGGCTACCGGACAGCGCCCGGACTACAGGAGTAACAGGCCCCGCGGCTCAAATAGCGGCGGACGGGCAACGGACCCACGGGCGGCTGGCACAGCTGGCTACGACTGGGCTACCGGGACAGCGCCCCGGACTACAGGTGCTGCTGACGACAAACTGGCAACCTCCGCTCATCCTCCCGCACACAGTCCCACCCCCCTGATACACACCCACTGCTACACCACTAGCTCTACTCCCACGCACCCCCCTTAAACCCTAAACCCAGTCTCCCACACAACCACCCCCCTCAGCGACAGCTGCAGCAGTGGGAGACGAAGGAGGAGGAGGAGAAAGGGAGGAAGGCACACCGACCACCCCCATACCCGCCACCCCACAGCTCGCCCCACAGCGCACGGGCGGCGACGGGCCGGGGCGGGGCCGCGACGAAGGGCGGGGCCGAGCCGGGCAGGCGCACGGGCGGCGACGGGCCGGGGCGTTGCCGCGACGTAGAGCGGGGCCGCGTCAAGGGGCGGGGCCGCGACGTAGAGCGGGGCCGCGTCAAGGGGCGGGGCCGCGACGATCGGGGCGGGGCCGCGACGTAGTGGAGAAGCCCGCCGCGCGCCTCGGGGCGCACAGCGGGCAATGAACCGCCGCGCGCCTCGGGGCGCACGGCGGGCAGAAAACCGCCGCGCGCCTCGGGGCGCACGGCGGGAGGAAAAAGTAGCAGCGGAAGCGAGGTGGTAACCCACCCACAGGATCGATCCAAGGGGATCGACCTGCTCTGATAGCATGTCAAAAGTTAGAAGAAGAAAGAGGGTTGAACTAGCAAGAATGAGGATACAAATAGCAAACCCTAGAAGGGTTGTACTCGCTATAGAGCACCCCACTACAGGCTAGAACAATAAGATAATATTCTGACAGATCACAGTACAAGCAAAGGCTACAACAAGTGAGGAAACGTGGGCACAAGGCCTAACAAAGTACAGAAACGCTAATAATCACCAGACGGAAGTGCCTTGGCGAATATATCAGCAGTGTTGGCCCGAGTGGCCATGTGAGCAAGACGAAGCTGACCACGCTGCTTCAACTATTGAGCAAGGAAGTAACGCAGAGCGATGTGCTTCGTTCTGCGCTCCAGTCTGTGCTCCCAACACAAGGCAATGGCGACCTTGTTGTCTACGTATAGAATTGGAGAAGAACGAGGCCGCTCTCCCAAGTCGCTCAGCAGGTAGGTGAGCCAGCGTAACTCCCGTGCAGCCATGGCTGTGGCGTAGATCTCAGCCTCACAACTGGAGCTGAGAACAGAAGACAAGCGTGTAGACCGCCAAGAAACAGAGCCAGAGCCAAGACTGAAGGTGTAACCCTGTGACGACCGCTGCGTAGCTAGGCCGTCAATTCAAGAAGCGTCCGAGTGCCCAGTAAGGACAACGTCGCCCCGTCGCACAAGCCCCATGCCCGATGTACTGCACAAGTAGCGCAGTGCCCTCTTAGCAGCATCCATGTGCACGTTTCGGTGCCTACCAGGAGCCACGTAGCGAGCCAGAAGGCCAAGAGGGTACACAAGGTCAGGATGAGTGCAGGTCATCAGGTACATGAGGCAGCCCACTAGCTCTGGGTAAGGACCACTCGGCTCTACGGACTCATCCGAAGGTGGAGCTGAGAGCGACTGACCTGTAGCCAGAGGAGTGCCCTGTGACGAGGACCAGGTGAAGCCGAAGCGCTGAAGGACCTGCTGCACCATGTGTGACTGAGTCAGTGTGATGGTGCGGCGTGCTCTGTCCCGGGTGATCTGCAAGCCAAAGTAACTGCGCAGCTCACCCAGGTCTCTGCACGTGTGTCTCTTCTGCAGCTCCGACTTCACCAGGGCAAGAGCCTCAGTGTGAGCAGTGACAAAGACCAAGTCGTTGACGTACACGGGGATGTAGAACGGCGGCAGCGAGGTGTCGGTGTGCAGAAACAGCGACGGGTCAGCAGTCAAAGGAGCAAACCCAAGAGCCGCAAGTGTCGTCCTCAATGTGCCGTGCCACTCACGCGGCGCTTGGCGGAGACCGTAGACTGGCCGCCGGAGGCTCCACTGGGTACCAGAAGGGAACGACCCAGTGAAGCCTGGTGGGCGGCGCAGCCAGATCTTCTCGTGCAGGCTACCCTGTAAGAAAGCTGTGCTGAAGTCAAGAGAGTGAAGCTCGTAGTCACGCTGAGCGGCAACGTGCAGCAGCACCCGAAGAGTGGTCATCTTCGGGGTGGGGGAGAAGGTCTGGAAGAAGTCAACTCCCTCCCACTGGCTGAAGCCTCGAGCAACGTAAAGAGCCTTGAAGACAGGCGGAGAACCTGACGGCCGCTTCACCCTGAAAATCCACACGCCATCAACGATGTTCGCCCAAGGAGGGGGAACCTCGTCGACGTAAGTGCCTGTGGACTTCCAGGATGCCATCTCTGCGTCCATGGCTATCTGCCACTGAGAGGAGTACTCACCCGCAATCGCCTCAGCGCAAGAACGCGGGGTCGGGATGTCTGGAGCATCCGAGTCTCCCTCAGGGGCAAGCAACATGGCCATGAGATGAGGCGCAGCGGCTGCAAGACACTCAAGGTCCTCCTGCCTGTCCTCAAGGACGTCCGTGCTAGGAGCACACTCACCCCTGACGGACGGAGGACAGACAGACTCAGACTCAACAACAAGAATAGCGGCGTAGTCTAGACGACAGGCAGCAGCAAAGTCAACAAGCTTGGCGACGAAGGCAGATGCAGCAACAGACTCAAACGACGGGTCAGTGACAACAGTGGCTAGCAGACGCGTGACAGTAGGGTGAGCAGCACGAGCGCGGTCAGACTCATGCTCTGGAACGTCGGACAGAGAAGACGCAGGAGGGGTCGGCAGAGGAACACGCTGCGGAGCAGAGGAAGGACGCATGGCCATGAGGTGTGTGCCGGGGACAGTTAGCGGACGCTCACGAGGAACACAACGACTAGTACGACCGGTGCGGACAGTGCAAACAGGCGAGACAGGACGAGACGCAGGCTCACGACGCTCAGTAAGACCTCCTGTCTGCTCAGTGTAAGGAGAAGGAGCAGGCAGCGGTGTGCCAGGCTGTAACGGAAGACTAGTAGAAGACGGGAGGCTAAGAACTTGGCGAAGCACGG